AAACCTGGAGCAGAAGGAGCCTGTTCCCGTGGGGGGCTGGCTGCTGCTGCCGCCCGTGACCCTTTCCCACGCATTAATTTCCTAGTGGATTCCTGTCACCAAGCTTGGTCGCCTGGTTAAGGATATGAAGATCAAGTCTCTCGAGGAGATCTATCTCTTCTCACTGCCGATCAAGGTAAACTTCTGTGAGCGTTGAAGTATATATGCGGCAGAGTGTTAATCTGACCTGTAATTAGCAGTAGTTGCTGGTTTTGCTCTTTGGGGGTGCTCAGGTTAAGTGTGTTTGAGCTAAAGGTGTAAATCAGCAACAGCTGAGGACCGGTGCAGTTGCTTGTAGGGAAGTGTGGCAGGATTTGTGTTTCATTCTGCTTGTGTGGAGATGGCAGCATGTTGCTCAAGCGTTTCAGTGATATTTCTATTTGGTAATGGAAAAAAAAAATCTCAACTTGCTATGTTGGACTGCATAGCAAACTAGACTAAGCTTATGCCTGCAAAATTTAATATGCTTAAGTATCTATTACCTAAATACAAGTGTACAGGATTGTTGAATTTGAATTGTAGGCATCTTTATACTAACTTGTGCTTGTGTTGGAAAGTGTGGTCTTCAGTGCTTAAATGAGTGGTTCTTGCAGGAGTCAGAGATCATCGATTTCTTCCTGGGATCTTCTCTGAAAGATGAAGTTTTGAAGATCATGCCTGTCCAGAAGCAGACTCGTGCTGGTCAGCGCACCAGGTTTAAGGTAGCCTTTTTCTTCCCTTTTCTCATGTTGAAAACTTTGCGGGTGTTGTCTGCTGCTTTTTTGACATTGTATTGGTAAATCAGTTCAAATATCTTTTTTTCTTCTGTAGTAGCTACTAAATATTTTGTATAGAAGTCAGCTTGTGTACTTTACAAAGAGTTTGTATTAATTTTAAAATCCTAGTAATATGTTCAAATGTTATTTAAAACAACCCTAGCACAAAATCAAGTTGCACTTGTGCAGCAGCGTTGTCTTTTCAGGGGTTGTGGTGGAGAGAGATGTCTTAAGTGTAAAGAGGGAGTGTTGTTTAGAAATTATTGGGACTTTGATCAGCAAGAGGCTGTAGCAGGGAATTAAATCCCCCTTCTTTGACCTTAGCTGGTTTTGACTGAAGGATCCCAGTTCTTCAGCCTTACCAGATTTTGACTGAAGGACAAGCTCGGAGGGGAGAAATGGGCTTCTTGAACCATGAGCTCTGCCGTGCAAGTTTTAGCAGGCGTTTTAATTTGTACTTGTGACTGTTCACTGCTGAGCATTGGGTTATCCTGGGTGAGACACCCTGATGGGGGAGTGTTCCTGTGCAGCCACCACTGAAAACTTTTCTTTCCATCTCAGGCTTTTGTCGCTATCGGGGACTACAACGGCCACGTTGGTCTTGGTGTTAAATGCTCTAAAGAAGTTGCCACTGCTATTCGTGGGGCAATCATTCTGGCTAAATTATCCATCGTACCTGTACGACGAGGCTATTGGGGCAACAAGATTGGCAAGCCCCACACCGTGCCTTGCAAGGTGAGAATGACTGGATGGGGCTGTGGTGGGTGTTCGGGGGGGCCGTGGTGGGTGTTGGGGGGCTGTAACCTGGTTTGTTTGTGTAGGTCACCGGCCGGTGTGGGTCTGTCCTGGTGCGTCTGATCCCGGCCCCCCGCGGGACAGGGATTGTGTCCGCCCCTGTCCCCAAGAAGCTGCTGATGATGGCTGGTATCGATGATTGTTACACCTCAGCCAGGGGCTGCACTGCCACCCTCGGCAACTTTGGTAAGCTTTATGTTTGCATGTTGTAGCTTAACTGCCATTTTTGTCATTGGCAGGGACGCAGTGTACCCATTTCTATGGTATTTTTAAATCTGTCTCAAATCAAAAACTTGTGGCAGTCAAGCAGAAGCAAAGATTTCTGCTGATACCTTTTACAATGCAGATTAGTCCTGCTGTAGATGATCCTAAGTTCTGTAAAAGTTAGAAGAAATTACCTGTTCATATGTGCATTGATATTAAAAATCTCCCAATCTGCGCGATTGCACTTGTTCAAAGTAGTGTAATTGTCGTAAATGGAGAGAGAAAGAAACTTGAATTTGGTGTGTATATCAGAGAGACCCTGCTATGGTTTCCCTGTTCCTTCCCAAAAATCTACATTTTTGGAGCTGCATGGGTGGGTAGCAGTGAGTGGGTTTCTCCAGCCGTGACGTGCAGTGTTTGACTTGTGTCTATAGCTAAAGCCACCTTCGATGCCATCTCCAAGACCTACAGTTATCTGACCCCTGACCTCTGGAAAGAGACTGTGTTCACCAAGTCTCCTTACCAGGTAACTGTATTTCTGTAATTCACAGCTCACATCTTAGCCTTCCTACCCTTTAAAGTTCAGATGCTGTACCCAAAGAATTTGCAGTTTAATAATGGGGGAGTTGCAGTCTGAGCTGACTGCCAGGTAGAGTGATTTTTCAGCATGCAGTTTTGAGCAACGCTTGAAAATGGCATTTTGTGGACAAAGGGAATGCGAAGAGGAAAGCTTTGAAACATTAAGCAAAAATAAATTGTATCTGAACTACTCCTGCCCCCACATATCCACCTTTTTAGAAAGGGATGCAGTGCTGAGACATCTGTGATAGTGGCTTAGGAAAAAATAAAACTTTGTTTTTTTGCAGGAGTTCACTGATCATCTGGCAAAGACCCACACCAGAGTCTCAGTGCAGAGAACCCAGGCAGCTGCTGTGGCAACGACTTAAATGGGTTTTGTACAAGACAATAAAGTAATCAGTGAACAAGAAATTGTGATTGGTTTGAATGGGCTGGCTAATGCATTGGGCAGATGGATTTAATCTGTTGGGGATTTGAGTAGGTTCACGTCTGTGGGCCAGAGTCTGAACATCTGTTGAATGAAACAGTGTATTACGTTATACTGATCCTTGTTAATCATGTATTAATCCTAAATGGGGTCTGGAGCCAGCTCTGGTGATGATTTGCTGTCCTACAGCATGTAATCTCTACTGTAACAGGGAATTCTCTGCCGGGGCTGGGCAGAGCAACATGGTGTGTTTCTGTTGGTGTGGAGGTGGGAGAGCTCCACAGGGGAAATCCCAGTCAGGGCAGCTCAGGGTGCCCAGAGTTAGGGGCTGACTGGTTCAGAGGATGGTAAAAATCAACTGGAATTCAAAGATGAAGAATTCTGTGTTTGCAGATCTCTTCAAAGAATTGAGTCAGAGAATCTGGTTGTATGGCAGATGTCTGGGCTGCACATTTATTGTAGAGGTCAACAGCATCAAAGATGCAACATGCAGTATTCGATACAAGTATCACAGAGGGAGGTGCTAACCATTTACTTCTACTGAGCCGAATTCTCTTGTGCCTTCCTCTCCTCCATCATCCTGTGCTTCTGCTTCATCAGGCACGTCCTTGCGTTTCCATGGACACCAAGATCACCATCTAAAAAGAAGGTAAATGTCTAAAGGGTGTCTCAGCAGCTAAAGATAGAAGCCTCTGTTCCACGTGAAATCTGGGATGTGGTTTAAGACCCCCCTTTCCGAGCACAGGCTGTTGCTGTACTCACATTTGTCCTGGTAGGCCTTGGTGACCTGGATCAGCAACTCCATCTCCTTGGCACAGTTCTGGTACTGGTTAGGTCCTTCCCTGTGCTTGCACGCACCTAGCCTTTCACGGATTATCTCCACGATTTCCTGATCAACCATCCTGTGGGAAAGATGATGATGAATGCAAACACGGCCAGGAGATGACAAAAGCTGAAGAAAGGGGCAATGATACTTCGTGGAAGTTCAGCTCTGGGTTTTTACAGAATCTTGGACTGTCCTGCAGCAGTACTGCCGGAACCAGGCAGAACTGGACATGTCCTAATGCCACACTATGAAATGGGTGTTTTGTAAAGGAGGGGGCAGGAGGTGCTGCCTCAATAACCCACACTCCATGGTAATGCTCAAGCCAACTGCTGCAGTCCCCAGAGCTGGCTATCCAGAGCAGTGTGCTCTTCTGTGGCCTCACCTGGGGACAGCCCAGTGACACTCCTACCTGTCCCTCCTCCACTGTGCTTCGGCCTCAAAGAAGCAGAGATAGTCGCCCTCCAGACACTCGCTCAGGTCGGGCACGCGGCGAAACTTCTGGTGGTAATAGTAGAACTTGTTCTTGGCTTGCTGGCGCTCGATCCACTCTGCAGCAACAGCCCTGCGGTCAGACTGCCCCGGCCCAGAGCTAGCGAGTGGACCCCGTGTTTGTGTCCTGCCCATCTGTGTCCCGTGTCCCTGGGTCTGTCCCAGTGTCCGTGGTGTGTTCTTGTGTGTCCCTTGTCCCTGTCTGTCCCGGTGTCCATGCTGTGTTCTTGCCTGTGTCCCATCTCCCCCTGCCTGTCCCGGTGCCCGTGTCCCCGAGACCCAGTGCCAGGCCGGGGCCCCACTCCCGCTGCCATCGCGCACTGCACAGCGGCACTAATGAGGGGGGGCGGCGGCAAGAGCGGGGAGAGACGCGGCCCACCCCCCCCCACCGGTACCTCGGACGAAGGTGACGGGCGCATCGACGATATAGTTGAAGGCGGTCTGGATGAAATCGACCGGGTTGGGCACCGATGTGATCCTCTCGGAGACGGGGGTGCGGGTCGGCGGCACCTTGTACGCCTCCCAGTCCCTGTCCTCCGGCATGGCGGCGGCAGCGGCCCCGGCGGGCGGCACGGACAAGATGGCGGCGCCCCACACAGCGGGGACGCCGGCCTCCTAGGGCGCCGCGCTGCGCATGCTCCGCCCGGCCCGGTGGCGCCGCTCTGCGCATGCTCCGAGGCGCCCGGTGCATGTTGGGGGATGTAGTCCATGTCGCCCCATCAGGCCCCGGCCTGGAGGCGCGGGAGGGCCGCCATCACCTCCACAGCTGAGGCTTCGGTCTCCTTCCCACTTAGAATCACAAAAATCTTTCTTACCTGGGCTGATGGAGGTATTCGTACTACGTCTCTACCCAGCGCGGCTTTATGCACCGAGCTGGGGGTGCGTGGTGCCCTGTTAGGGAAACAGGAGCTCTCCTAATTGCTGCTGTTCACGTTCAAGTGGCTTAGGAGGGAGAGGTGTAAACTGAGACACTGGCGACTGACCTTTATCACACCCCAACTGTTATGCCCAACCTGCCAGCTTGGCTGAGTACGAAATGAATATAGCAAGGGGTGAAGCTAGGAGCTAAATTTGTGTCTTCAGACCGATAACCATCTTCAGTATTAGACTGAGGAAGCGCATACCGACAGCCTCTGTCTGCTGCTGACCTGGGCTGAAGACGTCCCATGGTTTGTAAAGCTCGGCGCTGCTACCTTGCGATTGTGTGCGGAGGGACCGTGAGCAGGGCTGGGCTACCGGCGATGTTTGTGCAGCTGAAACGGGGTTGAGCTCGACATCGCTCTACTTGGGCTGGAAAATAAGCTCGGCAGAAGGTTCCGCCAGGTGTTGGGACTGATCTTAGCAAGGAGGGGGTTGCAGTGGAGGTTGATCTAACCCTTCGCTGCTTAGGCTGACCCCCGTTCCCCTGCCTTGAAGCCAATTGTGTGAGAACTTGTCCCTGTCTCTAAACAGCTTTCTCTCTGCCTGGCTCAGCATGACCTTGCGATTAGGGTTTATATATTTAGCTCTTCTAATTTGGTTTTCAAGGTGCATATTTAACCTGCGCATGTTCTTATTACTGATTCCTTTGGGCATCCTTTCCCATTTCTTATGATCATGAGCTGTGCTTGTTTGGTGCCATTTGCCTTGATGACAGGAAACCCATGAATTCTGAGCAGGCCCTTTTGGTGCTGCAGAATACAAAATAAATCGTTATAATTAACATCACAGAAAGGTGGACCTATTAAAGAACATATTTCTTCTTCAAAGTCCTCAAGCAGAAGGAGGGAGATCATGTTCAAGTTTTTTTATTTAATCAGCATCATTTGTCCAGAAACTTACTAAATTCTTCCATGCACATGATAGAAGCTTAAACAAAATTCCATCCTGTCATCAATTCTTTTTCTCATGTTGGCATCGAGGAAGAGCCCAGAATCCCTTCAGCATTCAGTGATGTTAAAAGGGAGATTTCCAGTTGTGCCTTGGGTTCTGGAGTCTTCTAGGACCTGAAAGTGAAGCCAGTATTTTTGTTCATTCTCTCTGCAGTCCCATCGCAAGTTCTCTGCTCCCAGGCATGGCCATCTGGGCTTCCTCCCCCACAAGAGAAGCCGCCGCCACCGAGGGAAGGTGAAGACCTGGCCTAAGGACGATCCCAGCAAACCAGTCCACCTGACAGCTTTCCTGGGCTACAAAGCTGGCATGACACACACTGTGCGGGAGGTGCACAGGCCCGGGCTCAGTAAGGCTTGGCTGATGGAAGCGGGGAGCCGCATCCAGGGGGGAAACGAGGGAGCAGACTTGTTGGTGGGAAAGGCTGCTCCCGAGAATGGGTGGTGGAGCACATCGCTCCTAGGCTATCTCCTGTAACGCCGTCCAGATCTTGGATGGCCAAAGGCCACCTCACAGCCAGTGTGAACTGAGTCTAGAGGTTCCTGGGGAGTCCCCACACCAGTATGGTGACCGGTGGTTTGTTGGATCCTGCTGGCAGAAGGACCCTGCACGGTAACTACCTGACAAATCCTGGGCTTTGAGCGTCTTGCTGGGGAAGTTTATAATGTTTCCCTCTGGGATGCCCACAGGATTGGAGCCAAACTCCAGGGCAAGAACCATCCCATGTATTGCTTCCCCCAACCTGGGGATGGTGGGTTAAAACGTGCTGGGCCACAGGGTCTAATCTGTTCCATGTCTGGGGATCAAACCCTGAGTGGTCCTCCAGGAGGGCTGGGGCTGGCTGTGAGAGCAGAGTGTGACCTTGCCCCCATCACGAGCCATGAATGGCTCTAGGGAATGATCTGATCCTAGGCAATGCTGATCACCATTTCCTTTTGCTATCTTGCAGAGACCTCCAAGAGGGAGGAGGTGGAGGCTGTGACCATCATTGAGACCCCCCCGCTGGTGGTGGTGGGCGTCGTGGGGTACATAGAAACACCGAAAGGCTTGAGGAATTTCAAGACTGTATTTGCTGAGCACATCAGCGATGAGTGCCGACGGCGCTTCTACAAGAACTGGTACGTTCTTGTACGTGGGGAAGGTCCCCGGGGTGCTGTGTGTGAGGAGGCCCTCGCAGGTCTTCCCCACAGGCGATCCGTGAATCCCAGCCCTTGCAAACAGCTCAGCTACCGGCAGCTGGCTCTGAGGTGGAGTGAAACTGCTATTTAGTCATGCACAGAGATACTGCAAACAGCTTGATGCTGGGAATCAGCATATGAATATGTAAATTTATTCTAATAGTTGAACTAAGTTAGCTCCCTCCTCAATATCGTATGGCAGTGCATGCTGCAGGTTTGTTTTCCTTTGTGTAGGTCGGGCCCATCTACGCTCCATTAAATTGGAATACATGAGCTGAGGCACCAAATGAAAGGAGTAAAACCAGATTTGTCAGGGGAAAAATTGATGCAGAATGTGACCCCTGGTCCTTGTAAACATCAACACCCCAAATCCCACACCGGCAGAGAGGAGAATGGAAACATGAATTTCATAACTGTAGGAATCATGTCTCCTGCAAAAGTGCCGTTGAGATCCACCCACCACATGCCTCTGATCCCTGTCGGAGCCTGTTTTCTCCTTTCTCCACTTAGCTCTGATTTTGCGCTTGTATTTTGATGGCGCTGAGCCAGTCAGTGGGAGACAACTGGATTCCTCATGCAAAAAGGTTTGAATTACCAGCCCTTTTCACAGCTCATTATTCACTTTCCTTTTCCCACCTCAAAGCCCTGTGTGGTGACCTCGACAGTCAGGCGAGGTTCAGGTATCCACAGGTACCTTGTGCCTCTGGAGAAGTGCCTGGCAAGGTGATCTGTCCCCCCTGACGCTGTGCTGTCTCAGGGCACTGTGAAGTGCAAAAGCACTTCACCATTCAGCTCTGTTAAAACACTTTTGTCGTAGGCACAAGAGCAAGAAGAAGGCGTTCACCAAGTACTGCAAAAAATGGCAGGATGAAGATGGCAAGAGGCAGCTGGAGAAGGATTTTGCGGCTATGAAAAAGTACTGCAAGGTCATTCGTGTCATTGTGCACACACAGGTCAGAGCCTCAGCCTGGGGGAGTGGGCAAGGAGGGGTTCAGGGTCTTCCTCAGCTCGGGAGCATGGTGAGGGTCTAGGAGCTGGGGTCAAGGGGGTGTCTTGGTGGGGTGAGAGGAGGCTGAGCAGGCAGATGCCAGTCAGAGGGTGTGGGACAGGGCGCACAGGCATTGGGGGGTGTTGGCTGAACTTTCCACTTCCCTCCTGACACCAGCCCTGTCCCTCTGAGCTGGGGGATTGCTGCGGGGTGGGCTGTGGCTCGTGCACGCTGGGGAGCCCATGCACCCTGTGGAGGAGAGCAGACTTTGCATAGAGCCTCAGCAGATGGTGATCCCGGTGTCAGCATGGGACCTTAGGCCCCATGATCACCTCAAATTAGCAACTGGTGTCAAATGTTTTGGGCAAAAATAACCCATGGGCAGGCACAGTTTTGCCAGATGCTGATTGCCAGGGCCCATCTTCATGCTGATCCCTGGAGTTAACAGCTCCTTTGGAGTCTGGGGCAGAGCTAAGCTGGCTCAAGACTTCACCCGGGGCTGGCACAGACCCTCAAAGTCCCACTGTGGCGATTTGGCAGGGGCTTTGCACAGAGAGCTGGGACTGGGAGAGAGTGGAGGCAGCACTTGGTGGGAACTAGAAATAACTGCTCAGTCTGGAAGAAGAGGTAAAGCACAACCAAAGGAGAGGTGCTGGCTCTGGCTCGGAGCACAGAGCTGCATCCTGGCTGGTCGTAGTGTTCAGCCTCAGACGGTGCTCTGCTGATGGGCTCCTCTGGGGCGTTTACTGTGGCTGTTACTACTGTGCTTAACTCGTGGGGTTGGATGAGGCTGGCCTGTTCCTGTGCTCCCTGGAGAGAGGGTGTGCATCAGCTCCTGCCTGGAATGGGAGTGCTGGGAGATGGGGGGGTTGGACTCAAGGACAAAGAGTTGGGTCTAAGAGATGTGTAGGCATGTTGGCTGTTACGAAAGGGGTTGACTATGTGGTAGGGAGGGGTGGTGAAGAGCTGGCCCTGCTCACCCCCTGTGCCCTTCACAAGTGGAGGGTGATGTTCGTGCCTGGGAGGTGGGGGGGCAACATTTTGCCCTATTGCACTGTCCAATGCAGATGAAGCTGCTCCCGCTGCGGCAGAAGAAAGCCCATGTGATGGAGATCCAGCTGAACGGTGGGACGGTGGCTGACAAGGTTGACTGGGTTCGTGAGAGGCTGGAGAAGCAGGTTTCCGTGCACAGTGTCTTCAGCCAGAACGAGATGATTGATGTCATTGGTGTGACCAAGGGGCATGGGATGAAAGGTACAGAGCAGGGAGACCCTTGCCAGGGGCTTGGGTCTGTCCTCCTCATATGGCACAGCCCATAAAGCGGTGTCAGGGGAGGGGAGTGTTAGCCATGCTGAGAACCCATCAGTTTATTGCACAGTAATGAAGAAGGAGGCTCAGAGGCACTGTGAGTTTGTAAAGCCATTGCACTTCTCACAAACCCCACGTGTGTGGAAGTGTGGGTGTTTCTGTGCGTGTGTGTGGATGCGCTCAGCAGGAACATATCACAGTCTGATCAGATCCATGGGAAGTGAGAACAGTTCTGTGCTCTGGCCTCTCACGGTGGTGACAGCTCTTGGTCTCCTTCCAACACGGTGTCTTCGGAGAACTGCAGAAGAATGATGAGACTCTCCCCTCCCCGGCACTCGGATACCAGCCCTGTATCTCCCCGCTGTTCTGACCGCCCTGTCCGGTCACACTTCCAGGGGTGACAAGCCGTTGGCACACCAAGAAGCTCCCCAGGAAGACGCACAAGGGCTTGCGCAAAGTTGCCTGCATCGGAGCCTGGCACCCGGCCCGGGTTGGCTACTCCATTGCTCGGGCTGGCCAGAAGGGCTACCACCACCGCACGGAGCTCAACAAGAAGGTATGGCCCAGATGGGCTCCCTCAGAGCACCGCTGTGCCTTCCTGCCTGCCTTCCTCCCATGCAGTCACCATCCTTCTTCGCACGGTGTCCTCAGTTCCCCTCCAGTTTCCCCGACGTTTCCCTAGAGATCTGCAGTGCTGCTGTTCTCCATGTCTTTCCTGGTGCTTTTTTCCCCTGCTCAAGGGACACATCAGAGGGGACCCGTCTTGGTGAAAACCGCGTCATCCCTGTGACATCTCTCAGTGAGGGGGCAGGGAAGTCGCCATCTCCGTTTTGTTTCTGTTCCTAGATTTACCGCGTTGGCCGCGGGATCCACGTGGAGGATGGCAAAGTGGTGAAGAACAACGCCTCGACGAACTACGATATCACAGAGAAGACCATTACGCCTCTGGTAAGAGCTGAGAGGGTAGCAGGGCTGTGACTGGCCCTGGCTGCAAGAATTCGAGCCAGGGAAGTAATTCCTCGGCTGAAGACAGCTGCATAGGAAACGATTTGAAGGAAATTCACTGAAAGAAACACAGTGATTCCTTTCCTCATGTTTTGGACATGGAAAACAATCTCTGTGAGGTGTTTTTTTAGGCCCATTGGTAGACCCAAACATTTAACTTTCTGCTGATAACTTAGGCAGGAAGTATAAATGACATTAAAAGTCTCATACTTAACAGATAAATGTTTGTGACTTGGCTTAAAAATTCGCTTTTGCTTATTGAAAACTGTTAGCTTGGGAGTCTAGCCAGTTCTGCTCTCTGTTCACCCACACCCTCCAGGGAAGGAAGCAGGATTACTGGTTCCCCAGCATTTAGCGGGTGCTCCTTAGCTGGGATCAGGCAGGTAGCGTGGCTGACACGCTCAAGTGGTCCTGAGCTGGCAACCTGAAGGGTGCAGAATGTTGTTAGCTGGAAGGACTGTCAGTCACTACCTTCTCCTTCCCGAGAAAATGCCACCCGTGGACATGTCTGCTCCCACCCAGCTCTCCTGCCTGCCAACCCTCTCTATTCCTCTCCCCGCAGGGTGGTTTCCCTCACTATGGGGAGGTCAACAACGATTTCCTCATGGTGAAAGGCTGCGTGGTGGGCACAAGGAAGCGTGTGCTCACCCTCCGTAAGGTGAGAGCGCAGCCGGCGCTGAAGGGGGGGACGGTCCGTAGCTCTCCATGAACGGATTCACCACCTGGAGAATGCTGCTGCCTCCAAATGCTGGGTGGGGAGACCGGTCGGGTCCTCGACGCTGCGTGGCAGAGGGCATGTGGCACGTGAGCGCGGTGCTCAGCGAGAGCATTTGCAGCTAGGTGGTTTGTGGCGGTGTGCAGTCGGACGTAGTCTCGCTGGAGACAGAAGCTGCAAACCTTTGAAGGCTGTGGGACCCAGAAATTGAAACCCTGGCCATAAGCAGATTGCGAGGAAATGAAATGCTAAGTGAAGAGCAGGCTCATTTCTGAGCTTCTCTGCAATCCAAGGCGTCGCCTGCCACCTGAGCACCAGGGGGTTTCTCCGAGAAGGCAGATTTTCCTGGAGATGTTTGTCTAATGGATGCAGCTAGGATATTTCAGCCCTGCTTCCATCAGAGCAAATATCCAGGTTTTCTGGAATGATAAGCCTGATGAATCGTGACTCTTCTTTTGCAGTCCCTTCTGGTACACACAAACCGCCGGGCTCAGGAAGCCGTTGAACTCAAATTCATTGATACTACTTCCAAGTTTGGCCATGGCTGCTTCCAGACAGCTCAGGAGAAGCGGGCTTTCATGGTGAGTTATGCTCTGCGCCGGCCCCAGCTCCCAGGCCATGCTCACATCTGGGGCTAAAGCAACCGACTGACTCCAACCACGCATCTGCTTCTCGATTAAACAACAGCCAAATGAGTGATCGGGACCGTCTTGCATAAAAGACAGGCATGAATTCAATTCACACAGCAGATATTATGCTAAGGAAGAACATGATGGTTGTGAGAGTGATCCAAGACAACCCAACTAGCAAATAATCTACCATATGGCCGACCAGTTTCCATTCACCACGGGATGTTTTAAACAAGCAGTTAACTTGGCAGGCACTGCGTTGGACATATGGTGCCTTTCACCCGTAATTGTGCACTTCTTTGATTTGTTTGGAGTGATTTATAACTTGAATGTTCTTAAGAGGAAAAGGTTGGGTCAAATTCAGACACAAATTTGCAATTCTTTTGTCAGGAAGATTTCAAAAAGGCCAAGCAGTATATTTTTTCTTAAGTCCAGGGCAAAAAAAAACAACCCCAAAGATTTAGATAGATCCAAAACAAGCAGTGTTTCTTGAATAGTTTTGCAACCTACACCAGGCTGGTGCATAACTCAGAATGGGAAATTAAGGAAGTGTTAAGTAAGCCAGGCCTTCAACTAGCAGAAAGAAACAACTGCCTGGATACCACGCAGACGTAAGCCGTGTCTGGATCTGGCCTGTCAGCTAGAAATCCCACGTGAAACTGGCTAAGCCTCCTTAGCCCTGGGAAGGGGGACTGGCTGTGCCATGCCTTTGCAGAGTTCTTTAGAGGTTAAGCTGATTTCCTTCATCTCAGCATTAGGAGCTTGTTCTGCGCTCTGCGCTTGCTGTCACTGCAAGTCCCGAGCAGCTGCGAGGTGGATCGTAGTGACAGGAAGTGGTTTTACCTGGTTGCTGCTGTTTCCTTTGCCATTTTCTACTGTGGGGTGAATTTCCCCCATGTATACTGTGGGAAAACTTCGCATTTGGCTGGAAGTAGAGGCACATACGTGACTCTTGCCATCTGTTCCCATAGGACTTATTTGGTCTGGGACAACCCCATTTCTTAGCTGATGGAAAGCCCTCAGGCTCTGTTGGGTTGGTTGATGAGAATCTGTGCCTTTGTGCCAGGGTGGGCTCCTGGTAGCATTGGTCAGCACAATTACTGGCCCCCCTCCACATCCCCCGACTGCAGGCCAGCCCGCCTGGCTCGGAGCAGGTCACTCATTGCCGCTCTCTGGCTGCTTTTGTGCTGTCCAGAGAAACAAACCCTTTGTGCGAGGGCAATGATGTTCCACTCCTGATTCCTGCAGGGCTGGGGAGGCCCCAGGGCGGGCACAGAGCTCCCGGCTGGGGAGCAGACACCAGCAGCAGCCTTGCACAGCAGAGAGGGGCCAGAGCTGCTCCCCGCAGCTCAGATGCAGCCTTGCAGGCCAGGTTTGTCTGTCACTGACACAGCGCTCTCCTCTCTGCTCTCTTCCAGGGCCCTCAGAAGAAACATTTGGTGAAAGGGAAGCCAAGTGTGCAGGAAGAGCTGTAAGGACGGAGATATGCAAGGCTACCTAGCTGGGCACTTTAAATAAAGGGGCTTCAAGCCATACCTGCTCCCCGTCTTCCTTCTGGAGGGGTGTCTTGCCTGTGGTCAGCGCTGCCTGTGCGCAGCAGCGCGTCCTCAAGGCTCCTGAGCAGGTGGGGATGGGACAAATAGCGCTTGGGACTGGCCCATATGGACTAACTGGGACAGCCAAGTGTCTGCTCTGCCCTCTGGATCCTCCCTTTCCTTTGCCCAGTGAATTTTTTCCCACTGCCTGCATCCACCCAAACCATGGTGAGGGCTCCCCTTCCTCTCTTCCAGAGGAGAGCAGAGCAGGTACCAGGACTTCTGCCCCAGTTTCCACTGGGAATACAGGGCCTCCCCGTTACCTGCCTCTGCCCAGGCTCTCCCCGCGCCGCCTCTCACACTCGCACACCCCAGCACTCCTTTGGCTGAGCTGAAGGTATGACCTCTCTCCCCACAGTCCTGGCCAGCATCCTCAGCAGATGTGGGAACTTGTGTACAATAAGAGGGCTGCTAGGTAAGACTGGGCAGGGATGGATTTATTCAGATTTTGGACTCATTTCCCACCCGTGTTTTCCTTGCAGTCCAGCTGCCTGCGGGGAGGGTGTGATGTGTCTTGGAGCTGTGATGTCTTGGATCAAAGGTGATCACAGCTCCCTTCAGTGCAGAACCGGTCTGGGCGTCCTGCACCCTCTTTGGGAACCAGACAGTGGAAAGCACAGCCCTCCACTGGTCCAGAGCTGCCCCCTTGACCAGGAGTCCTGGGAACCTGGTAGGAGCTGCGTGAAGTTCTTGAGTCTCCAGCAAAAACCCCCTTGCCCTGTGGCTGGTTCTGCCCTGAACGTGTGCTTGCAGTGTTTAAGGAGGAGGCTCGTCGACGAAAGTGCTGAGGGTGAGGAGAATCGAGAAGCTCAGACCCCATGGCGTAGCCCTGGATGCAGTCAGTGGCCAGGCCCTGGCTGGCCCCGTGTCCCAGCGAGGTCCCCGAGCTCTGTGCAGTGTCTCTGCCCTGTCCGTGGGGCTTCAGAGCCTCTTCTCTGCCTTGGCTGGTGGGTCCCTGGGCAGCCCTACAGTGGGGGGCTGAGGATCCAGGCTGGAGCACATGATGGGAATGATGAGATCATCCATGTTTGGCATCACCAAAATTTTCTGAAAGGAGGAATCCAGAATAACAAATAAGTGGTTTTTGAATGCCACTCGCCTGACTGGTGACACATCTGCTGGGAAGTGGCCTTGGCAGGAGCCACACTCGAGTCAGCGACTCCTGTGAACGGAAGGTCCCGGGCTCCCATCCCCTCAGCAGCAGCTGACTGTGCCTGGCTTCAGAGGGTTCCCAGCTCTAGATATCTCAGAGTGGGGACAAGCAGGAACAGTTTTTCTTTGCCCTGCCCACCTGTATGGCTTGAAGGGTGGCCATGGCAGAGGGCAGGGACCAGCACTTTAGAGCCATTCAAACAGGCAGCTCTTCAGGAGGATTTGGGTACCTAAATATTTGTGGGGACGTTTCTGCTCTTTGACCAGGGGGTCTCACAGGTGAGAGGCTGAAAACAAACCATTGGGTACCTTGTGAATGGTAAATCTCCCAAATGTCCCCAAACCAGAGTGGACGGGTAAATTCAGCCCTTTTGGGGGGTGTCTGCCTGGGATTTGCTGACACTCCTAATCCGTCCTGCTTGGGGCAGGGCTGGGAGAAAACCACTTTTCCTCAAGCACTCTAGTGCTCAGAGCCCCAGCCCTTAGAGCTGGTTCCTTAGGTTGTGTTTCTGACTGTCCAAAGTTGGATAGACCGGATCAGATGCTGGCTTTTTGCAGAGATAACCCTGACCCAAACCGAGGGCTGATCATCCCTGATCGCAGCAATGCCCGTGCTTCAGCAGGGTTGGCTGAGCCCTTTAAGAGACCAGGCACCTGGAATTCGTGCTGCAGCTTCTTCTCGATCCACTCAGTGACGTGGAGGAATGTCACCTCCCGCTCGCCCAGCTTTGGGCGCACCTTCAGCTCCAGCTGGGGTGGGACTCGGAAGCTGTACCTGCAAGGGGAAGGGTAAGAGGCAGAAAGTCCCAAAGCCCCAGGGCTGCCTCCTTGGCTGAGCCGCAGGGAGCAAGGGGAGCTGGAAGGAGGATGCACGTGTGTCCCTGCACGGGAGGAAGAAGAGCTGATACCAGACACGGTCTGTCGGTGGCGGGGGGATGTTCACGGCCAAGGTGCCTGCCAGCTCCTGCACCTCCACCGTCAGCAGCAGCGGCGTGTTGGAAACCTCCTCGATCTTCTTTTTGATGAACTCGTTTTCAGTGGCCTTCTGGAAGTACTTGGACTTGGCGATCTTATCCACAAAGCGCAGGATCTTCCGGCTCGTGCTGTTGCCGCTGACGTGGCTAAAACGAGGGGGAGCCACAGCTCAGAGCCGTGCTGGGTTGTGGCATCCCCCAGCCGCCTGCCACAGCACCCCGCAGGGACAGGAGTCCCCCCAACCCCACCCCTGCGAAGGGCTGCCGTGATGTGCCCTGTGTGCCTTCCCCGGGGCAGCCAGCCCTGAGCTGGCGTAGCACCCTGCCTCCCCCAGCATCACCCCACGGCACCCAAAGAGCCCCTTACCCCTCGGGGCCAGGCGGTGGGACCCGCTCCCCCAGGGCTCCCGCGGGTTCCGCAGCGGCGATGTCTTCCTCGTCGGAGGAGCCGGCGCTGGATGACTCTGCGTCGCTGTCTGCCAGCAGGATCAGCCGTGGCCTGGCCCTGCGAGCCCCGAGGAGCATCACGGGGGTGCCCTGGGGCCAGCACCCTCTCGCCTCACTCAGGAGGAGGAGACCCAGCCATGCACAGACTCCTTACCCCTCTCCGCCTGCCTCTGCCGGGCCGCTCTCCTCCGCTGCGCTCTCCTTCCCCAGCTTGCAGAGGTTCATCTTCGTCTCGAGTGTCATCTGCAACGAGCCGCTGTAGGTGACCTCCATGTCCACCCAGAGCCCTGCCGGGGAGAGGGACGGGGAGAGCCCCCGTCAGCACCGCAGGGGCCGAGGGCTGCTCGTATGCCTGCCGAAACCTCCCTGCACCTCAATAACAGCTGCTGCGGAGCCAGCCCTGGGGTCCCTGACACTCTGCGGGGCTCACCTCGGTCATTGATGGTGGGGTTGGAGGCGCTGAGGACGGAGGGGATGGAAGTGCCCATGTCCAGCTCTGTCAGCGTCAACTCGTTCATGAAATACGGGAGCTGATGGAGGGAAACCACGCAGAGATGGTCACCGCCGCCTGGCACCCGGCTGTGGGTCCTTGGGGACAGGGCTCCCCCTGCCCCCCCCCAGGTGTTTTGAGGCTCCTGCTTCTCACCTTGATCTTGCTCAGCTTCTTCTGGATCTTGCCGGACACTTGCTCGGCCCAGTATCGCTCCCGGAGGAAGTCCCAGAAGATGCGCCCCACCAGCGCGTTCATCCAGGCCATGCACGCCTCGCTGCGCCCGGCCGCGTCCTCGCCGAGCTGCGGAGGGTCAGAAGCCACAAGCCCCTGGAGCGAGGGGGCCCCGTGAGTGGTGGGACCCGCTGCTCGGATGCTCCCCCGCACCACGGCTTGGCTGCTTAAACCCCGGTGCCGAGAGGGAGAAGATGAAGCACAGGACTGGAAAGCGGCTGCGCGCAGGGTCCGTCAGCCTCTGCTCAGCGCTCGTGTCCTGCTCCCAGTGCTGGATTTGTCCCACTCACCTTTGTGGGCATGGGGCTGCCCAGTGCTCCGTGAGAGGGGCTCCGGTCTGGGCTGCCCCCCACCTGCGCTGGCACGAATCGGGCCATGTAGGTGCTGTAATCCAGGAAAATCTTCTGTTGGATGCTTCCCGCCAGGTCCTTGGGTGGGACACTGGAAGGGATGTCCTCGGCGCTCTCTCCGCTGCTGCTGCCGCTGCTCTGCCGAGCTGGCCCCACGCCTGGGGACACGAGGGGGTCAGGATGGCGTGAGAGGTGACACGCTGCCCGGCCGTGATGCCAGTGACATGCCACCCCCCCTATGCTGGGGAGGGGGATCCTCCGGGCTCTCCCTGCTGCTGCAAATGCTGGGGGGTCCTTCATGTCCCCCCCAGGCCCACTGATGCCTACCAAGGGCTTGTCCTCCCGCCACACGTGCAGCTCCCACCCCGGATCTCTCCCGGCACAGAGCAGAGCCACGACGGCTGCTTCTCACCCGCCCTGGCTTCGCCGCGGCTGCTGCCGGGTGTCCCGCGGGACGCTCGCATGAGGTGCTGGTACCACTCCTCCTTCTCCCTTCCCGTCCGCCCGAAGAGGTACAGACACCTCTCCCTGCAGTCCCCCGGCACGTCCTGCCCCGGCACCGGCGCCTTCTTTATCCCTTCATCCCTCTGCAGCTCTGCGTCCTGCTCCTCGCTGCTCCTGCAATCCATGTCTGCCGGGTCGGGCAGGAGGAGGCAGATGGGGTATTTCTTGTTCCACGTCCGTTTTCGGGCCAGGCTGGGGGGACAGAGGAAGACCTGCAACACCGAGAGTGGCGGTGAGGCCAGGCTAGGGCGCGGGGTGCTGGGGGTCCCCGCGGGAGGGTCCTTGGCACTGCCGGGGTCACCTTGGCGTCGGTCAGGTCGTAGCAGCGGTGGCTGATGAAGACGGCGTCGAGGATTTCCTCCTCGAAGGTGGCTCGGCGCGGGATGTTGCTCTTGGGGTAGGAGAGCTTGAGGGTGGCCCCATCCAGCGCGGCGAGCACCGAGTGCGTGAGCGAGGGGTGGAAAAGCTCGGGGTCGTAGACGTGCAGCTGGTTCATCCAGCCCTGGGTGGGGGGAGAGGGAGCCGGCTGGTTCCCGCTGTGCCGTACGGGGCGGCAGCCGGCACCCCCCACGGGCTCGGCACCCCCTCGGTGCTGCACCTCCAACCCTGGGCTCCCCTCCAGCCACCACCCCGCACCCCATCCCGGACCACCCCTCTCCTACCTGGAGGCGGTGGGTTTCCCGCGGCTCCCCCGGGAGCAGCTTGGGGCGCGGGCAGCCCTGCGGTCCCCGTGCCACTGGCGGAGGCTTTGGCACGAGGAGGAGGATGGCGAGGAAGCCCAGCACTAGCCCGCAAATG